ACAGAAATCAATTTTTCTGATGATGGAGCTAGTAATTTAGATGTTGAGATATGATTATATTATTATGTATTATTTATTGACCGCCATCGAAGTTTCGATGTCGTTTTTAGAACAGTACAATCTAAAACCTAGCTTTATATATTATCGAGCCTCATAAATCTTAAATTTCTGACACGTATACAAAATCGAAGATAATCCCATAGATAAAGTGGAACAAACAAAAACCACTGCGTAGTATAATGATCTTTAACACAGTGATATAAAGTCTAAAATTCTTAAATTTAAAACAATGATACGGCAAAAGATATCAGGAGCCGATGATCAGTCATATGTTCTGACATCTTTGTACAAGAGAATGTATGAAATACAGTATCTCAATACAATTCAATGAATACTAGTGCGATTTGTGATACATTGCGAATTGATTTTAAATATTCTCCCAGGATGGCGACCATAATATTCTTTATTATAAAGTAGTTCCAGTGCTATAATCGAAATTGACGTGGACTGTGAGAGAAAATTTACATAGAAAGAATTGTGGGTTTACAACTATAATGCAAATCCATCAATATCTTGAATAATATTGGTTTATTGTGGACAATTACTATTAACCAAGTCGTTAAAAGTAAATTGGTCGCAAAATACATTACGTGGTACTGAAAAAGGATATTGGTCAAAATGCCTCCAGCTTCCGAAGAAGATATGGTGCCAATGCCCGGAGACACGAGCAGTGTCACCATTTACCATGTGGTCTACATATCAGTGCTCTTCACTGTGCTCATCATGGCATTCGTTATAATGTGTATCAAGATGGCACAATTGGGTATTAATTTATATTTTACTAATTTTGTCAGCCATGTCTTCTCCGTCAGCCATATTATTTCTTCAATTATTATCTTTTTCACAGCTGTCTTTCTTTTGATCATTTGGAAAAAAAGTCGTCGGATTTGTAATGCTGTTTTTCTAGTCTTAATATTAAGAACAATTATCAAGTTACATAAAGTAATAACCAATTAAAACAATACTAAAACCATATGCTTCTCATCACTAAATAATACTGCCATGATTTTGTACTTTTATAATAGCAGTTTGTATGAATCATCGAGATAAACTGCAACTGATGTCTCAATTGCAAACCAAATCTTTAGCCTGGAATTCGTCATCCAACAATTTTTAACTTCAAGTGACAACTTTAATTCAAAGTTTAATCTTTACACTGAGCTCTCGAAAGCATTGCTTAACCTCCGATAGCGTTGATATATCAGAGATAAAATTTGATATCAATAGATGTGCTCGATACAGACACTTAGTACTATGTTCGGTGAACGAAAAGCCATGAATTTTGTTTTAAAATGTGCCAAAATAATAATTGGAAATCAGTGACAGTACCAGTGTTCCTTAAAATTAGCATTCCAATAATTTGTTAAAACAAATTAATTGCGAGTGTTCGTGTAATCTACGGGAACTCTAATCGTTTGTCGTGCAAGTGATTTAGAAGATTCTCGATTTGTTAAAAATTGAAGATTACAAACAAAAGATCTAAAGATGGCTCCTTATTACCCAAACCTGGACATGTTTGATTCAGCTGAAGATGAGAGTCAGAAAGAAGCCAATGATCCAAGCAGTTTAAGTGAAATGGCTTTCTGGTACATGATCGTGTTGATAGGAATGCTGCTTATTTGGATCTTCATGTTCTTCTGTTTAAGGATCATTTCATTACGTAATTAAATCAAATTATATTTATCTTCTATACTTTATGTTACGGTTTCTTTGCTAACGTCTTTATATTAAGTAAGCTCGGAAACAACTGAATTGATTTGTAAAATAATTCTATCTTTGAAAGGTTTACAACGAGTAATACAGGCGTCAGGTATATTTTATTTTGATGGCCCTGTAGCATCGGACCCTACTCGAGAGTACGTCATCATATCTACCTACATGGGGTCATAGTTGCTAAAGTTATCATTTTCTATAACTCCGCACGTCTCAAATGATTCTCACTAGAACAGCTTCCGAATTTCATTAAAACACGCATGGTGATGTAAATGGCTAACAAACAAAGAAGTTAGTTTTAATTTAGTGAGAAGTATTGCGTTACAGATGAATTCCATCGAAATATAAGCGCAGTTATCTGACGTGGAAATGAGATAAGATTATGATTGTATCGGTGGTACAGGGTTTTGCCATCATCATACTTTGTCATATTTATTTATAACTAGCTATTGCCAGCGGTTTTACCTGCGTTCTTATTGAAAGTTGCCTATGTGTTATTCCAGATCATAATCTACGCCTGTACCAAATTTCATCCCGATCCCTTTAGCCGTTTTGACGTGAAGGAGTAACAAACAAACATACAAACTTACTACATTTATGGTATTAGTAGGATTTTTTTTCGGGGAAAAAGTCATCGAATGACTGCTCCCGCCTGGGTGAGGCGGGAGGGAGTGTCAGACTCTTACTGACTATGAACCACCCCGTTCCTTCTCCTGCACGTCGAGCCAGAGCCCCGGTTACCCGTTAGGTTCTCCGCGACATGGTATCAGTAGGATAAATGCAATATTTCGCAGGGAAATCTACAATTCATTCGATGATGAATCTTGTGCTAAAATAAAGGCTTGTGATTGGTCGATAAAAATCCATTAGCCAGTCACAGTATTTATTTATTCACGTTGATTTGATAATGAAACAGGATGATAATCTTTAAATATTTATAGCTGATTTAAAATGTTCAAATATTGATGGATTGGAAAATAAACAATATTGCCCGGATGGTAGTGGGAGAAATGATATGAAAAGATAAAGCAGTGTAGCTGAATGATAACATAAAATCTGTTAACAAAAATTTTAAAGTAAAAACATTTGGCAAAGATGAAAATCAAGCGAAAAATATTGTTGATACAAATAAACTAGACGAATTTAAAGATACAGGTGAAAATTGCTTTAAATATCTATCGGATAATTTCATATGTTCGTATTATCATAGATGCCTAGCTCCATATTGGATCAATGTTAGACAGTGGCTCAGTGAAAGATAAAAAGTTGGACAGGGAGAGAAGGCCCCATTTACCCCGATTCTCTGAATCACCAATAATCCTCATATTCCTAATCCCCAAAAGGCCGGCAACGCACTTGTAAAGCCTCTGGTGTTTCGATAGATGGCGTTGATTGCTTACCATCATCTCGTTGATGGTGATCCGTCTACTCGTTTATCGGCATAATCCATAAAAAGAAGGTATTGTAGCTTTAGCCTGCAAGGAGTCTTTAACTAAGAAAATAACTTAATGAAACCATCCATCCATCAAATAAGTCATCCACTTTTATCATAAGTATAAATACTTAATAGCTAATAAATTTTAAAGTACGTGTATCTACGTCATAAGGATTAGGGAAGTCACTTATCTCTTTGTTGTGAATATTTAACGCCTGAGCTTAAATTTTATTATCAACACTATCAGTGCAGTTTTCCCTTCCAAAATTAATGAATTTATCATTGTTACGGAAATGTTAACTTGTGACTATTATGTCATACTAGAACAATATTTGTAATCAAGTGCCTACTTGTTATGATAGGCGTTGTTCAAATTAGACGCAATTTTAGTATTAGTTCATTGTTTGATCTCGCATATCATCATCACATAACCTGATTTATTATTTCATTCGCACGGAACTTATATTCTTCATGGATTCTCTTTAGCGTTATCAGTTTTAATTGATGCAAATTTAGTCTTGCAAGGGTAATAAAAATATCTACATGTCTAATACTCGTATCAAATTGAGATTTTAGTCGTAAAGTTTTACTTTTTCCTTATTTCGACTTTTATCTTTTCCTTATAATAAATTTAGTTTTATTACAAAACTAGATTGTCCACTTAGATTTTAATTTCGGCTGTAAATCTATAGATACTATAATCTATACAAACTTTTTTCTTTTTAACTTCCCTCTCTTATGAGTTGCAGTAATAATTACATTTCTATCTTTTGCATCTTTATTTTCATTGAATAGTCTGACCATTGTATAGACATGTCTACCTGTATTATTATCATCTACAACATTTCCAAGTTCGAGAGTACTTGTAATTGAGGGGGTTAACCCATTAACGGTTACATTATTCCCTTATCTAAATGGTACATTATTACATTATCAACTTTTGTTAATTGATCGTGATCATAATCAACAGTGACTTGGTTTATATTTTCCATGGTTGGCGCATTTGTTTGTAGTTTATCTAAAGAATTTTTAGTCCATTTATTGGTAGATTTATTACTTTATTGTCATTTGTACAGTTCTTTTGTATTGTATTATCTTTGTTTTTGAAAGTATTAACATTGAATGTTTTTCATCGTGATTTGAAATTTTGTCTTTTACGTTTATTGTTTCGTTTTGCTTTGATCTGCGGTTTATTGCAATCTCTAATCTCATTTACATTATAAGCTTAACTTTATCAAGCTTAAGAAACGAACAAATTCATTTCCGTATTTTTAATACTCATTAAATTATATTCTACAAAGTACGCTATCATATATTTATATTGTTATCAACGTAAGAGGAAATCAATATCTCGGGAGAAAATCCTATGTTATCTAAAATAAATTGTTTTAAACCAAAATAATAAGTAAAATAAAAGTAAGTTGTGAACGATTTCCATAGCAACTCAAATGACACAAATTTGCACTGACCAATCATAGTGCACGCTGTTGATATTTTATTCTAATCTCGTAAACATAGATAGGCAGCGACAAGTATCGATTAACTGCACCGGTAATTAAAATCGAATCAGTAATCGATCGTACCGTCATCACTATTGTACGTCAGTTACTGCTGCACCGCCTCATCAAACACATCTAATTGTTCGTGCCCGATAACATTACGCGTAGGGGGCATATAACCATAAATTTGTCAAACTTAATCCAAGATAAAATCGATTTTGATAAAATAATTTTATATCGTATCGATTATGTTAATTTGCTTGCCATTCGAATTCACGGTCTAGTCGCGAGTGTTAATTTGTTTGTGTAAAATCGTTATTTTATTATTATTATTTAAGTGAATTATTCGAATATTCATTGAAATAACATCAACAATATCTTCAAACAAAGTGATCAATTTCCAAAAATCCGATTAGTGTGATTGATTTCGTTTGTGGAATTAAAAAGTTTCGCATAAAAAAACTGTTGTTGATAGATGGCGATTGCGTAGTTTTACGTCACGTTCTAGTGGAGTGTTTATTTTGAACAATTGTGTGAAGTATTTTGAGATGGAGCCTGTCACTTATACCTCGTTTAGGACTGTTTCGGAGGTGGACCTTAGGGAAGATTTTACCCCAGTGAATGATTATAACACATCGTTTGCTGACATCGTCTGGTCAGCGCTCAGTACCACCACAATATTCTTGATCATTATTTTTATGGTCACTTGTATCAGAGTAGTTATTATGGGTACGCATTGTTTATTGTTTCTATCCTCATTCATGTTATGTGAGATCATAGTTCATATGCCATTATTATTGTTAATAGCAGTATTCATGGAATTTTCATCATTGTCTTTCAAGTCTACTAGTTCTACTGCTTTTATTTCTTCATGTTTATAGTTCGTCTATTTTGTAGAATAATTCTGACTTTTACTTCATAAATATCGGTATGGAAATTCAAAGAGCTAATGCCGAATTATTCCACTTAGATTACCGAATTCAAATTCTAATCCCCTTCCACAGATAGTTTGTAAGAATTGTAGATTTTGCAACTCAAAACTAAATAACTAAATCTTTTCTAATCTTTAAAGTAGGTATTTCAATTTCGAAATCTAATCTAAGAGAGCTAATCTTCGGGTCTTATGAAACCGATTACTTGCGGTGCGAATCAGTAGGTATATAAAGCTCCGTGGAGTAAAAAATTTACAAAAAAACATTTGTTATCGTGAATTTCAATGAATTATTTGACGTAATATGCTTATAGACGTAGGTATGTAATGTGTTATAAGTTGCAGTAATCAGTAGGTTCTATCTTCATTATCAACGTTTATCGAGGATTGACATATCAGGCGATGTTGTGCGACAAACAACGGCACGAGGCGCGAATTTAGTGCATCATATTTTAAGCATTTAGTTTGCTAAAACATCAATATTGTTTAAAGCAAATTGAATAATTATATTTATTGGTTCTTTTCTTATTATTTACATTCACATGATTGAGACGAATGCATTGTTTCTATCGTTGTTTGATTTATAGGAATGTCTTATTTATACATTTTTGCACATGGACTGCAACTTAATGCTGTCCAACACTGTATCGGAAATTGATGGGCTAAAGTAGCAACTTTTATCTGATTACTACCAAGTTTAGGTGCTAGGTTCTTAGTGAACTTTATACCAAAGTTTCGTCCAGATTTGACAATGGTGTACATATAAATTGAGCGATAGTCTTCTGCCCTCAAATGTGTGTCTACATAGAATTTGTTTTCATAACTCAAGCAGTCAGTCACCAAATTGTCCCATAATTATTTGTGATTAAAGTACCAGTGTATTTATGTATATTTTCTTTTGTTTTCCAGGGCAAAAAACGCGCAGTCCGCAGCAGAGGCGAATGTATGTGGGGTCTCGGGCCCGACCGTCTCTGGGCCAAGCAGAGCCGTCTATATTCGTCAGCCCTTCTAACCTGCCACCGCCACCCAAATATGGTGAGTACACGAACTTGTATAGCTAATTATTGTTCTTTTTATTCTATTTTTGGATTTTGGAACACAGCTTATGTTTCTTTTTTTAAAAAACCGTTGCACCCAGCGGGATTTTCGCCTGTGTCGTTCACGTCACAGTTTAAGCCAGTTCCATCATAACTTAACAAATGCTCAAAATAGGCTACAAGGCAGCACTTTTACACGTCAATTTTATCAAGCGAACGATGAGGCCGACATTTCCTAATTGACTACTCTGAGAAGAAATGCTGAAACAAACTCAGAGGTCCGTCGCTTTTACAGTCCAATCTACTAAGATCTAAATAAATGTATAATATATGAATATAGATATAAACACAAAAGGGCGCTAGGTACAATTGATTTACAGCTGCTATTAAAAGATGTATATTATCACATTTATCTCAGTTGTAAATGGACATTAGGTACTATATTATATATCTTTGTAGTTAGGGAATATTTTTTATCTAAATATTTATAACCAATTTGTAAATTCTGAGATTAGAGTAATCAACTGCCAACTTTATGTGAGATGATAAGGAAATATATGTATATTAATAAGTTACCTACCTAACGATTGTAAGTACAAGAGCAACAGTAGCAAGATTTGGGTTCTGAGTACCTATGTTAAGACCAGGCAACGGAGTCCCTACTTGACTATTTACAAAATCTGAAATAGATTTAATTCCTTTCCACCTTCATAGTGCAACGATACTGACAATAACCAACTACTTCGTTATGCTTTCAAATAATGATTTAACTTAATATGTTCAGTATATTTTTCTCTTGGCATTAACGTTCAATTTTCTCTAATTCCAGAATGCATGGCCCCACCCAGTTACGAAGAGGTAGTGGGCGTACACTACCCGAACTACCAAGTGCAGCCAATCACACAACCAATCACAACAGCGCTAGCACAGACGTCTACCGACACAACGACAAGACCAGAAACCAGAAGTAACGAGACAGTTGTCAGGAATAACGATGAGACTATCGTTACTGTAGTCAGCACGCCGCGAGTAGCAACTACCAGCTCGTGATAATACCGTTATCGTTAATTTAATGTATCAAGTCTTCCAGTTAAGCTGGCAGGTCAGGGCTATGCATTTAAAGTTTACTAGTCTGAACGTTTTCGTGATGTGATGTTAGGAAAGTTGTGAAAATGGATGAACTGTATACAGACGCTTTGTAATCTACAACTAGTTAGGAAGTCGTTGGTAACGCAACTACTTCAATAACGGAACGTAAAACTGTTACCGTTATTTGTGTAACGATGGTCGTTATTTTTGTAACAAGATATTGTTACGTTATATAAATTTTTATTCCTTGTTATTAAAAATGTAGGACCAAAACGTTATTGTTTAAAGCGATTGTGTTATTTTATATTTTTTTACCAAAAATATTCCGTCTTTATAGAGGACGCAAGACTGAGTGTGATTGGTAAAAAGAATCACGAAAATCATTGTATTGTTATGTAATTGGTTCAATAATTCGAGATAACGATGGAATTATTGAAACAATATTCGATTGATCAAAGTGTTGAGTGTTGGATCAAACATTTGTCACACATTTATTGGACGAACACGTTTGGCCAACATTCAAGATGAATTATGTATATATTTGGATGTACCTATAATCGTTATATTTTAAATATAAAATATAAATTTAATTTAGAGTAAGCAATACTTGTATTTTATTTATCTTTTTTAATAAATCTAGACTAGTTTAGTCTACAACCTGTACAATTAGGTCCATTTTCACTTCATCACCCTAAGAACGACAGTTCAATTCCTACTATAACCCTTTTCTACTTTTAACCTTCTATCCAAATTGTTAACTCTCATTACAAAACGAGTATAAATATCAATATCTATCTTCTTCTATACATATAATAAAATCGTAGGAAAGTGCAAACTGTTCATTGAATATTTTTTTAAAACAATGCTTGGAGCGTCAACACCGAAGCTAAAAATATGGTTTACAGAATTTTTGTCTGTTTGTCTGTATGTATGTCCGGGTTAAACTCAAAAAGTACTACACGGATTTGCTTCAAATTTATACATGAATATTACTAATAGGTCGGGTCAATATAGAGGTATTTTTTTTTTTTTTTTTTTGGGGGGGAAAATCATCGAATGACTGCTCCCGCCTGGGTGAGGCGGAAGGGAGTGTCAGACTCTTACTGACTAAAAACTACCCCGTTCCTTCTCCTGCACGTCGAGCCGGAGTCCCGGTTACCCGTTAGGTTCTCCGCGACTCCGAATCGGCATCGGCCCTATTGGGCCCCATCTGTGGTGGTCTGATGGCTCTTTGAGGCGCGCGCGGAACGCGACGCGCCGTACGCTCGGGTCTGTTTCTGGTCGGACGGGGAGCCACCCATGCTCGCCGTCCGCAGGCCCGCGCTTACGGTGGCCGGAGATCGTCCCGCGATCCCCGACGCCCGGTGTGTCCTTCGCGATGGCTGGGTTGCGAGGAGGCAGCGCTTCGCTGCCTCACGCGTCCCGCCTCCTCCTTAGCTAGCATGACTGCTTCGCAAAAGGAGGAGACGGCATCCCAATCCCCCTCGCTCCGCATCATGGCCTGCACTAGGCCCGGACGCGAGAGGTCGCCATCGCCGATCACTTCCCTGAGGACACGGCGGTGCTCAGCCCACGAAGGGCATTCTCCCACCGTGTGTTCCACCGTGTCCTCAGGGCGGTCCTCGCAGTGATGACACCCGGGCGTTTCCTCCCGCCCCATCAGACACAGGTACCTCCCGAAACTTCCATGTCCGGTGAGGACCTGCGTCAGGCGGTAGGTGAGGACGCCGTAGCGTCTCTCAAGCCACTCCTCAAAGAGGGGACTTACCGCTGCGATGGCAGCGAGCCCAGCCCTCGGTTGCGACAGTCGTTGCTGCCATTCCGCCATGAGATCGCGCCGGAGCTCATCCCGCCACGCACTTATCTGGCGCGGCAGCGGAGTTTCGCCCCGGCGACGTGCCTCCGCGCGCATGCTGTGCACGCGCGCGAGCACCTTCGCCTCCAAATATAGAGGTATAGGCTACATATCATCACGCTATCACCTACGGGGAAGGAGCTGTGAATCACTATATCACGCGAACGAAGTCGCGGGCAACAGCTAGTACACAAAATAATACTACCTCATTACAAAAGAGTATCGATGGAGTTTCTTGCTCGTTCTTCTCCATTCGAAACAACGATTTGGAACTGTTAGCGCCTAGCTTCACTGACAGACGGACGGACTGACAATTTAACTTTTGACGTTTCAAAAGTGTCTAATTAAGGATTTATTGAAATAAATGCTTTGACTTAGACTTTGACTCAGGTATCTGGTTAATAGGCTGCCGAATTCTGTAATAAAGGGGTTCGATTCCCTGCCATAATTATCATTCAAACGTACATGACGACAGACGAGCACTTGATCTTGGGTTAGAATCCCGGGTTGGAACAGTTATTGTATAGTCAATATTGTCACGATGTAAGAAATTAATTATGCTCTATTTGCCAATAAATCAATTAATGAAAATATTTACTTATAAACGTTAAAAATATATGCTAACCTAAAAGAGGTTAGGTGGTACCCCATCTTCAAAGAGATCGTTACTATAAAGCCAAACATGATACCTAAGTTGATGAGTAGTTGGGAACCTTGGAGACTCCTGATGATGCTACAGCCGATGATCGTTCGTTGTGAAACAGCGCTTGCGTTGTGTTTTTTGTAGGCCCAGTAATCCCCACCAAGGGAGGTTCTTCCTCAATCCAAAGGCCAACGCACTTGTAACGCCTCTTGTGTTCCGGGTGTTTATGAGCGCTGCCGATTGCTTACCATCTGTGACATCCGTTAGTTTGTTTACTGGGTATCCTATAAAAACAAAAAGGGTTATGTATATAAGGCTATAATAGATCAAAATATGCCGTTTGGGAGCTACGTTTTCACAGACAGACATTTTTCAGTTCTTTTTTATCGTTGTGAGTTGAAAAATGAAAAAGAAAACGAATAAAATCAGTCGTGGCATAAGTATTTATATTCCTATATTGACAAGTAAGTATTAGGCGCCGTCCATAACTATAAGAGCAAAACTCTAAAACAATATAATTATGTAAACCACTGCTATTATAATAAGCGCAGGCACTAACCTATTTAACATAGCAGATATTAAACGATGAACTGATCCTATCCCCTCTGTTTTACAATAAGAGACTTATCTGAGAAGATACCATTAAACTTCAAGAAACTTCTCCGATATGACTCCGATATCTCGGGTATGACAAAACTCTCAAACTCGAGTACGAAAAAAAACATTCTCTAAAAAGTTTATATTCACGATTGTGTGGCCTCTAGAGGGCGCCATATGCGTTTCCAAATAATTTTATGTAGCCTATAACCAGCGGGCTAATGAGACGCTTATAACAATAAACTTATCAAATGATGATCAGTAGTTCAGGGGTTAGGAGGGAACAGATGAACATATACACATACATACATACATACATACCGGTCAAAATCATAACCCTCCTTCGTCGTAGTCGGGTACAAAGTGTCACAATTGTCCTGTGCTCTTCAGCTTACTCCTTCAGGGATCTAAAAGCTGTAATCATGATTATGTTAGTCGACTTATATTATCGATTATTATATCAGTAACTTCTAAGTCATCATAATAAGGTGATATAAAAACCTGACGACTAGTGATCGTAGAATGCGCTCCAACTTACTAATGATCTACTACCCATGTATGGAGTCTATGATTGGAACTGAGAACAAGGGAAGTGCATCGAAAAGGACACTCATATTTTTATGTGTTTGTGTGACCTACATTATATAGCAGATATGTATACAACTGCCTCGTCGGCCGAGGGGTCGCAAGTACAACTGGCGGGCAAGGGGTCTCGGGTTCGAATCCCGGGTTGGACAAAGTATTCCTAGGTTTTGCACAGTCTGGAATTCTGCCCGATATTTTTCAATTGGTCTATGGGCCTTCTATCCCCAAAGAGGTTGTCGCGAAGAACCTAACGGGTTACCGGGGCTCCGCCTCGACGTGCAGGAGAAGGAACGGAGTGGTTTTTAGTCAATAAGAGTCTGACACTCCCTCCCGCCTCACCTTAGCGGGAGAAGCCATTCGATGACATTCTGTCCTTAAAAAAAATCTCCAAAGAGGTAGGCAGAGGTGCATATTACGGCACTTAATGCCACTGTACAATATAACACCTACTTTTCACTATTCATGTTATGAGTCCCATGTAATAAGGGGTAAGCATAGGCAATAGTGCCATATACCGGTCACAATTCCAGACTCCGTGCTAAGACTCTTCAGATCTCTCAGAAGATTTTTTTAAAAAACCCAGTAATGCTTTGTTTTTGAAACATACATAATATATTCAAAGAAAGTTCCCAAAACAAAACATATGTAGATATTTAGACAAAGAAAGTACCGAATATCCACACCTACCCAGTAATAAATTGTCAACGTTAACACTATCATAAACAGGATTTACAAAGATTTATAATTTAATCTCTGTTGTTTTAAACTTTATTATGTTCAAATATTGAGATAAGAATACAGACAAACAAACAAACACATTTTTATGTATATACAAGTAGATAAATATTTACAGTTAGTCTACGACAATGCCGAGTAAAGCTATTTTTAGGTTTGACATATTTAAAAAATTCTCGACAATCATGGAATATTTTTTATATGATAGATACGAGCAAATGGATCACCTGATGGTAAGCAATCAACACCCATGGACACCTGGTACACCAGAGGCGTTACTAACACGTATTGGTCTTTATGGAGGTTGAGGATTTTGGGTCTCAGTCTCAGTCTGAGGTCTTATTACATGGAACTTATGGGAATAGCAAAAAGAGAGTGTTACAACCATATGCACACACACATACATTTCTCTTTTTTTACTTTATTTACTGAAGGAATCAATGTCGTGGTGGCCTGGAGGTTTCGAAAGCACCGATATGACTTTTTCAGAATTATACGTACTTTCTAAGAATATCTAGACACCACTGACAAACGATGAAGGATAAACGTGAGGAAACCTGGGCTTTACAATTTCTAACTATAAGTTTGAAATCGCCAACCCACATTGAGCAAGCGTGGTGATTAATGCTCAAACCTTTTCCGTGTGAGAAGAGGCCTTTAGTCAGCAGTGAGCACTTATAGGCTGTTGATAATGACTGAAGGAATCATGTTATAATTAGTACTTAATTAATTTACTACCTTCGGCTTGGTTAACAACTTGTTAAACTAAATAAATAAAATGTAGGTACAATGTAACACATACGACATTGCACATTTCCGGCCTCACACCTTAATCAGCTGTTATCTTGTGATCTAATTCTCGAGATAAGATCAACTATAAACTAACTAAATTAAATAGAGACTAGACTTCAGCTGATGTGGTTACAATAACGATCATTTTTTATTTGTTCGAGTTATAATGGTACAGTTTAGCGGCAACGATTATGTGCGGAATGGAGAGATCAATAAAATGATTAGATCAAGTAAAAATGTTTCTATAAGAACTATCGTGAGACATACTAAATTACTGATTGTCAGTCAGGAGGCTGCGCAAAATCGCCGCGACTGCCAACGCTGCTCATAAGGAGAAGCCACTTTGTGGCTTCGAAACTAGTAGACCTTTTCTCAGTAAATTCACGTGATGTTGTCG